ATCCCTACTACAAACCAGAATCGTACTTGTGATAACTGCATCAGAAGCCTTAGCCTCAGGCCTGGCTGGAAGAGCATAACATCGGGGTTGGGCCCCACCACCCTAGATTATATCTCTGGGACGGCCTGCAGCTGGTTGGCCACTAGCCTCCACCTCTAACACCTCTACCTCCACCTCTAGCTCCTCTACCTCCATATCTGGCTCGCTGGGGGGGCTGTGGAACACTCGGTGCCTGAACCATGGCACGGGAACCCGGATGCTGAGAGTTGCTCAATGCTTGAGGACAATATCTAGTAATGTACCTCATGTCGTCACAAGTAAAACAAGCCCTCGGCTACTGGGGCTGATGACCCTGAAAACTCTAAAGGGGAGGTACATTGATAGGAGCTGGTGCACTGTAGGACTGCTGATCGGAATACTGCATGTGAGAACCACGACCACCTGGGGCATTGTGAGAAGCCTGAAGTGCTGACTGAAAAGGCCTAGGAGGATGGCCTCTACCAAAAGAATCTCTGCCTCCAGACGAGGCGCCACTAAATCTGCCTAAATGACGAGGCCTCTTGTCAGACCCCTGACCACCTCCCTGCAACAGAACCATCTCAACTCTCCTAGCCACATTGGTCACCTCCTGAAAAGAAATCTCACTCCCCGCCTCCTTAGCCATCTGAAGTCGAATAGGCTGAATGAACCCCTCAATGAACCTTCTCACTCACTCACTCTCTCTCTCTCTCTCTCTCAGTAGGAAGTATAAGTAGAGCATAATGGGTCAAACCAATAAACCTGGTCTCGTACTGAGTAACAGTCATAGAACCTTGCTGAAGATGCTCAAACTGCCTCCGATATATCTCTCTCTAAGTGACCGGAAGAAACTTCTCCAAAAACAGCTGAGAAAACTGATCCCAAGTCAAAGCTAGTGATCTAACTGGTCTAGCCAAACAATAATCCCTCCACCAAGTCTTGCGGATCCAGATAAGCAAAAAGTAGCAAAGTCGACCCCATTGGTCTCCACTATCCCTATGATCCTGAGAACCTCATGACAGCTGTCTAAGTAATCCTAGGGATCCTCAGAAGATGCACCAGTGAAAGTGGTAGCAAAAAGCTTGGTAAACCTATCCAATCTCCACAAGGCATCAGCAGACATAGTCGCTCCATCACCGACCTGGGCTACTATACCCGGCTGAACTCCTCCAACTAGTTGCTGCTAGAGGCTGAAACTGGGGAGTCATCTGCTCTGGAGTGCGGATAGCAGGAGTTTGGGCCCCTCCTCCATCCTGAGAGACGGCTGGTGCTACAAGAAGCAAACCTGCCCGAGTGACACTCTCCATAAGGCCCACTAGGCAGGCCAGAGCATCTTGGAGTACTGGGGAAGCAATGAACCCTTCTGGGACCTGAGCTGGTCCTGCTGGAACTGCCTGGGCCGGAACCTCCTCGTCAAACTCAACCTGAGGCTCCGCCACTGGTGTTGTTGCCCTGGGCTGAGCTCTGCCCCAACCTCGGGCTCTAGCACGGCCTCGGCCTCGCCTTCTCGGCATAAGGAAACGCATGTTCTCGGCATCTGTGAAAGAATAGAGTAGAAATCCAATCAGCATTGAGAAACCAAACCGCACGACATGAAAGAATAGATGTGAAGTTTTTCCTAACTCTGTAGCCTCTGGGAGATAAATACAAACGTCTATGTACCGATCCCTTAGACTCTACTAAGCTTGTCTGTGAATTGTGAGACATATGTAACCTAGAGCTTTGATACCAACTTGTCACGACCCGGTTTTCCCACCCTCGAGAGTCGTAATTGCGCCTACTAGTGAAAGTTCGGCAAGCCAACTAACTGAATTATTTAACTTGTTTCCATTTTTAATTCGATAACAATTAAGAGCCAACAATTAGATAACAACAGGATTAAATAAGTGGAAGGCTGCATTGTAAAGTTTTCATAATACTATTAGTACCAATCCATAACAAATCTACTCAAGACTGGTGTCACAACTTCACAGACTGTCTAGGAGTACTACAAATAAAGGTCTGAAATAAATAAATACAACACTGTCTCTGGAAATACATGAAAGAAATAGGAATAGTATATAGAGGGGGACGTCAAGGCCTGCGGATGCCTGCAAGACTACCTCGGGTCTCCTGATGAATAAGAAACAGCAATCTCATTGCGGTTTGAAATCTACAGCACTGGGATCTGCACTAAGAGTGCAGAGTATAGTATCAGCACAACTCACCCCATGTGTTGGTAAGTGCCTAGCCTAACCTCGACGAAGTAGTGACGAGGCTAGGACCAGACTAGCAAATAAACCTGTGCAGTTAAATCATATACAACGGAAATAGAAGCAGATAATTATAACTAAAGTTGGGCGGGGGAAATATGTTGCGGGGAGTAACAGATAACAATAGAATAATAGTAGAGAAATGTAAGGAATACCATAAATCAATTACCAGCAGAGATAAGGAAATAAGAAGAACAAGTACACATGTAATACCGTTGCAGACGTGCAACCCGATCTCATTTCATATTGTACCGTTGCAGGCTTGCAACCCACTCCCATTTCATATTGTATTGTTGCAGGCGTGCAACCCGCTCCCATTTCATATACTACCATTGCAAGCGTGCAACCCGCTCCCATTTTATATATTACTGTTGTAGGCATGAAACTCGCTCCCATTTCATATAACTTCCGTTGCAGGCGTGCAACCCGCTCCCATTTCATATATTTCCGTTGCGGGCGTTCAAGTCGCTCCCATTTCATATATCAACACCAATCATAAAAGAATCTCGGTAAGGGAAGAATCGCATAATAACAACATCCTAGCAAGGGAACAATAATATCACAACAAACATCCCGACAAAGGAACAATAATATCATAACAACATCCCGGCAAGGGAACAATAATGATAATCCTCACACGAAGCACAATAAACCACAACGGAGTCATAACGATTACAATATAAGACTCACGGGCATGCTTGACACCGACGTATAGATACTTGTCACCATGCCTATACGTCATACTCCACAGTTAGCACATAGCAGATAAGACACAACTTCTAATCCCGCAAGCTAAGGTTAGACCAAACACTTACCTCGATGCAACAAACACAATTTAAGCTTCAACTATTGCTTTACCTCTTGATTCCACCACCAACTCGCTCGTATCTAGCCACAAATTACTTAATTATATTAATAATTGCTAAATGAATCAATTCTAATGCATGAAAATATGTTTTTTAAGGTTTTTCCCAAAAAGTCAAAAATCGACCCCGGGTCCGCTTGGTCCAAACCCGAAATTCGGACCAAAACCCGATTACCCATTCACCTCTGAGCCCGGATATATAATTGGTTTTGGAATCCGACCTTTGAGGTCTAAATCCCCAAATTTTAATATTCTTAGGTTTTACCCAAAACCCAATTCCACCATGAAAACCCTAGATTCTGGGATGAAACCCTGGAAACCAGACATGAAGGGCTACAACTTTCGTTTTTGAATCATCTCAAATTTCCTTGTAGATCAAAAGATATAGGCTTCCGAAGTCAGACCAGTGAACCTGCGGATTCTTCCTCACCGTGGACGGCACAAAATCGAATGTGGTCGCAAAGGCCCCTCCGCGGTAGCACAAAATCATTACGGATCACACTGGCGGGTTCAAAGATTTGCAACTTCTCTGAACCTGCAGCAGCTATGTTTTAAACCTAAAACATACCGGAACCTACCCGAAACTCACTCGAACCCTCGGGACTTCAAACCAAATGTGTACACTAACTCAAAAATATCATATGGACCTACTCGTGCGATCACATCATCAAAATAACATGTAAAACTATGAATTAAACCTCAAAACTCAACATTTTCATCAAGAACACTCAAAGTTCATAACTCTTCAACCGGAAGTCTAACTCATGTCAAATAAACTCCATTTTTCACCAAGTTTCATAGTTATATTTTAAATAATATTAGAAATTTGTATCGGGCTCCGGAACCAAAATACGGGCCCGATACCAATGGTTTCAAACATTAATTCTTTTCTTCATTTCTTAGATAATTCAGCAAAATAATTTCTTTCAAAAATTAATTTCTAAGGCTTGGGACCTCAGAATTCATTTTCGGGCATACGCCCAAGTCCCGTATATTACTGCGGACCTCCCGGGATCGTAGGAATATGAATCCGGGTCCGTTTGCTCAAAATATTGACCAAGTCAACCAAAATCAAATTTTTAATTCTAGAAATTTATATTTCTCATCTTTTCACATAAAAGGCTTTCTGGATATAGGTCCGGACCACACGCGCAAATCAAGGTGAGGTAAAATGGAGGTCTTTAGGCCTCAAAATACTAAATATATTTCTAAAATAAGTAATGACCTTTTGGGTAATCATAGTCTGACAGACTAAAGGATCTACAGAAACGTTAAATAATATGTCATGCATTACTTATATTTATTGCAGCATTATAAATCTACAACAGCTACTACAAAAAAACTAATAGAAACAGAAGAAATCAAAAAAATTACAATCACTATCTCTGTGTGCTTAAACCTCATGAATATCTTATACTCTTCAAAGAAAAAGCGCGCATTTTAAGCATGAATCTTTTTCCACTTTATATAAAAATCTCTTGGTCTGTCTTAATCTCAAAGAAAGGTAATTATAGTGATAAGGCTTTAATGATTGTTAGGCATGGAGTGCTTGTGATAGTTTCGCTGGATGTTAGAGTCTTTCCTTGTTAAGGGATGTAATAAAGAGACCTTTTTCATATATCACTTACTGATTGAATCAAGATACAGTAAATCTGAAAATCATTTCTCCTTCGCGTTCCTCTTTATTAACCTACATTAGAAATCCAAAAAAATGACAATTTTGTCCAGCTTATATAGAGAACTTTGACGTCAAAGTTGGCATATTTGTTGATATTCAAGAAAGGACAACCTTCTTACAATGTGTAGTATATGCATACTTAGCCTCTATACTTCGAAAAAGAAAAAAAAGAGAGCTAAACTCGATATCTGTTTCTTCACAATCAGTATTAAGCCAATTGTACTTTTAGATTCCAAGTTACATCCACTATAGGCAATGACCATATTTCACTAAACTAAACAAAATAACAAAGAAAAACAACAAGCGAACTGGCCTTGAAATAATTTTACATAGTACAGACATAACAATGAAAGTATGCTTGAGCCAACTCATAAATATTGTTAATCGCTACTATCTAGTATAAGTACATAATGTATCAAATTCATGACTGATAAATAAGTGTGTATTTTAGAACATCAGTCAAAAGAAAAACACAGTAAAACATTATTTAGTCGTTTCAGACATATAACACATGGAGACATCAAATGACTTAAAAAATAAGATTAAGAAAAGAGTGCCATGCATTCTATTCTAGTTCAATATTTTGTCATTCAAGTCATTTATAAATCAAGTCAATTAACTGTTGGTAACTCATTTATCTAGTTTACATCACATACAAATATCACTTACTTGCCTCATGTCTAAAATCTTAGAGCCTCCAATACCTTCGTACAGTGGACAATTTTCAGGAGGATGAATTTGTAAATATTCAACCCCAAGAATGAACACAATATTAGATAATAATTGCAAGATCTAGGTAAGGTCATATCATACATATTCTTTCAGCACCAATGTGCATTCTAATGAGGGCAAAATAGATTCTCTCTTCTATGTGCTTATGTACCTTAAACCAAACCCTGCTTCAATCAAATTTTGTGAAATGTTCTTCGCATGATTCAGTTGTGTTATAAATTTTGGTCGAATATGAAAAAAAAAAGATTAATTATTGTACATAGTTCAAGACAACAGTACAGGGCTCTACTGGACATTCCCATGAATAAGCTAGCCTTATCAAACTGTCCATATTCAAAGCTTTTGTTACATACATATAAGCAGTTGGTATCAAATGGAATCCAATATTATCAAAATAAAGATCCATAAACTCAACATAAGTAATATCATAACAACTAAATAATATAGTTGATGAATTACCATATAATTTTGGAGAATTAGAATGTTGCTACCTTGCTTGGGTTGACTGAGTAATTTCCCCCCAGAATGAGTAGAATTATAAGACCTTAGTCAAAGATGTCAAGTAGTTGACATCAAAGAGCAAGCAGTGCAGTCTTCTCCATATAATGCCTAGTTACAACCATCAAAAGCGAGAAAAAAATTGTGATCAAAATATAGGTTTCTCATTCTGTTTGGAGACATTTGAACAATACCAATTCTACTAAATTCATATAAACGAAAAAACTTAAAATAGGAACAAAAGTTCGGCAAAGACTAAGATAAAGAAAAATACGAAATCATAAGATATAAAGATGAATATAGCTTCTAGAGCAAAGTAATAAGATGATAGACCTTTAAGAGATAAAGCTGAGCTTTAAATAATCTGAGAAAGAAACTCTTTTGCAATATTACAAACTTTTTACATGAATAGAAAAATAATAAGTAATCTGAGAAAGCTGCTATTGTATCATGATATTCATGTTGATCAATTCAATTCCAATTATTTCAGGAGAACTTCCATTATAATTTGTGGAAATTAATCCATCTGTTGGTTTCTTTAACCAACCTCCTATTTGAAAATGTAACAACGACATCTATGTTGCTTTTTCTTGCGATTAAACAAAAGATTTGGCCTTTTTCTTCTTTTTAGATCTAAGTTGATGAACAATGATTTTAGTTTTGCAATATGCACTAATAGATCAATAAAGAATAATAGAACTAAACACCACCAGAAAGAGTAGTGTTTTAGGCTATGACATGAAACATCCTTCAGTATAATATATAACACATAATAGATTTACTAATTAAGTATAATAAATACATAATATATTTACTAATTGTGCCCCCGAAAATTAAGTGTTGCACTTCATGCAGTGAATATATCATAGAGATATATATTGTGTATAAAGAGAAAGGTAGCAAATTCTCTTTGACAGTAAACAATCATAAGCTCTAACACGCAAACAGCAAACCATACAGTTGAACCCAAATTTTAAAATTGTGATCTTTAAAATCTAAACACAAAAGTTTGATTCAAACACACAAAAGCACTAATCCATATGAACTACTAATTTTTAACAAACTCATCAAAATATAGAACAAAGATAACATAAAGAAATATCAAAAAAATTCTCCATTACCTATAAACATAAAGATAATATGGGAATAATTTCACTATTTCAAAGAGACCCAATAAAATAATAATAATAATAATAATAATAATAATAATAATAATAATAATAATAATAATAATAATAATGCAAATTAAGAAATATGTAAGCTTTTCCTAGTGTAGATATTATCAAGTACTTTATGGGCATCACTAATATTACAAGCGGATTTAAAAGAGAAATGTAAAGAAAACCCACAAAAAGTTAGGGATTATATATATATATAATAAATCAAATGAAATCATTACATGCATATATGAAATTCTACAATAACAATCCAAAAAATTAGAAAAGTAACATATTAGCCATAAACTCAGCACATTAAACAAAAAAAATGAAGAAAACATTACCTGAACTAATTCATCTTAAATCCACAATCTCTTTTGTAACCCTTGCCAAGATGAATATCATTGTAAAGATCTAAGAACACAATTTCTCAAAAAATGGTATTTTAGATGACAAAGACTTGCAAGAGTTGATCCACCGAAACAAACCTCCAAGATGGCAAATACAACAGAATCATTCATTAGTGGGTGCTAAAATGCGAGGAAATAGGAAGAAATGCCCGGTATTCGAGAAGCAAAAAATAAAAGACAGAGAAAAAGCAGTCGTAGAGATGAGAAATTGAGCAACCTATCGTTTGAGAATTAAAGGGAAAGGAGAAGACCCGGAAAGAAGAGCAACAATTGAAAGTACACGTGTTAAGAAGCAATACACGTGGTTATAGCCTTAATTAGGAGAAGTCCACATTTTACAGTACAATCAATATAACTTTTTGTACAACTGTCCTTTGCAGTGGTCGTACACCCCTTCCCATTTATATATAGTAGTAACATAACAAATATGTATATTTTGTGATACATTAATAAATTTTCTAGGAAATTTCTCAAGTATGAGACTCTTTGGTTCACTTGACTCTCAGTGTAACGATCCGACCGGTCGTTTTGAGCTCTAGCACGTTATTCAGCAGTTTGAGGCTATGAGCAGCTTCACTTCAGGTATTATGACTTATACGCATGGTCGGAATTGAATTCTGGGAAATTCGGAGTTGACTTGGAAAGGAAAATCTCATTTAGGAAGCTTTAAGTTGAAAGAATTGACTAAGATTGGATTTCAAAGTAAATGACCTTGGAATCGGGATCTGAAGGTTCCAGTAGGTTCGTATGATGATTCTGGTATTGGGAGATTGATCAGAAGTGAATTCGGAGGTTCGTAGGTCATTTTGGAGTCATTTGGCTAAAGATCGAAATTTGAAGGGTTTTGGGAAGTTTGACCGAGAGTTGACTTTTTGATATTGGGGTCGAATTCCAATTTTGGAAGTTGGAATAGGTCCGTAATATCAAATATGACTTGTGTGCAAAATTTGAGGTCAATCGGACGTGATTTGATAGGTTTCGAACATCGAATGTAGATGTTTGAAATTCTAAAGTTCATTAAGCTTGAATTGGAGGGTGATTCATGATTTCGATGTTGTTTGATGTGATTTGAGGCCGTGAGCAGGTCCGTGTTAAGTTATGGGACTGGTTTGTGTGATTGGACGGGGTCCCGGGGGCCTCGGGTGTGTTTTGGAGTGGTTTCGGATCGAATTTGGATAAAAAGTTGTTGCTGATTACTGGTAACTGGTTTCCTTCTTCGCGAACGCGAAGGGAGTCCCACGTTCGCGAAGAGGAAAGTGGGAGGCTGCTAGATTTGGCCTTTATGAACGCGAGCGTCGGGTCATGAACACGATGAAGAAATTTTGGGGCCGAAGCAGGTTGTGCTTCGCGAACGCGAGGGCATTTCCGCGTTCGCGAAGAAGGGCAGTGGTGAACAGTGACTTGTTTTAAGACGGGTTTGGCCCATTTCTTTCATTTTTCTCTTGGCTTGGCGATTCTTGGAGGATTTCAAGAGGGGGTTTCATCATTCAATGGCAAGGTAAGTTATCCGTACTTAATAGGAGTTAAATACATTGATTATGTATGGATTTTAACATGAAAATTAGTGAAAATTTGGGGGTTTTGAGGAAGACCTAGAAATTTGGTATTCTTGAATTTTGACCATAATTTTGGACATGAAATTAAGAGAAAATCATATATTTGAGTTCGTAAGTTCATGGGTAAACTTTATCTTCGAAAAATTTTGGAATCCGGACACGTCGGCCCGAGGGCAATTTTGTCAACTTTTCGATCGAGATTAGGAATTGTTATAAATTGGGTTGTAATGAGTAATTGAACATATATTAATAGATTTGTATAATTATTAGCTAGTTTTGGAGCATTGTGCATCGATTCGAGTCTTCGGAAGGGCGTGGAATGTCGGTTATGGATCTTCGGAGCGAGGTGAGTCTCCTTTCTAACCTTATAAGAGGGAATTATCCCCATAGGTGAGTTAATTGGTTATGTGCTCCTATTTGCGGGGGCTACATACGCACGAGGTGACGAGAGTCCGTGTGTAGCTACTATTATGCTTAAGTCCGGGTAGTTTAGGGCCCAAAAGCATGTTTTTTTGAAATACTTGCAACCTTGTTGACAAACTTAAAATGCTTAAAACATATCGAACGTGTAAATGAATTTCTAAAGAAAAAGGCTAGGTTTTATTTTTTGACTTTTAAAAGAGAAACTTGCCTTTTCTTGAATATTTGCTCCTTGATGAATTATTGAATTGATTGTTTGAATGTGTTTATCTATTGTGGAACGGGCTGAACACCTCGGTATATTAAATAGATGCATCTATGATTCGTGTCATTCTACCCTCTGGCAGTGCACAATTTAAATATTGTTGGATCGGGTCGTACATCCTCGACATGATTTGCGCATGCTTGTATTGCTTGCCTTGAAATTTATTGAAGTGATGTTGTTCCTTCCCGACATGAGAATAAATTTATAAATGACGAAAAGGAATTTGGAAATTTCCTATAAAAGAAAGAATTGTTTACTTGCTTCATTCTATTGAATTACAATCATGTTTATAAAAAATCCACGATTTAATATATTATTGATATAACATTATTGGACCACTAGTAAGTGTCGTAGTCGACCTCTCATTTCTACTTCTTCGAGATTAGACGGGATACTTACTGAGTACACGTTGTTTTCGTACTCATACTACACTTGTTGTGCATTTTCGTTGCACATGTTTATGTGTGACTAGTGGCTTAGTGGCATAGCGACATGGTTGATATGGAGACTTAGGTGAGCTGCACTTATCGAGACGACCTGCAACCAGCAGAGTTTCCTTCAAAGTATTGTATTGTATATGTATTTCTGTCCACTTTGTATACGGGATAGTTACTGTATTTTATTTCATTCCCTAGTAAATGCTCATGCACTTGTGACACCGGGTTCTGGGATGTCTATGGGTTTATTCAGAAATTTAAAATTGTTAAATGTTTCATTATTTATTCAGTGAAATTTATTATATATTGTTTAAACGTATAAAAGAAGTAATTTCAGAAATATTTAAAACGAGAAGTTACTAGTTATTTGTTGTTGGCTTGCCTGACAATGGTGTCCGGTGCCATCACGACCCTTAGTGGAATTTGGGTCGTGACACTCAGCCACCCTCACCACAAGAAATATTTTTATTTATAATTGCGCAAAAACCTACTTTAATGAGAAACTACAAAATTTATTTATTCTTATATTATTTTGAGTACGAAAACTAGTTATACATGAATTAATTAATGGCAAATACTAAAAGATTAACGACTTATGATTACTAATTAATCTTAATTTAATTTTAACATTTTAGAGCATGCTTTTTACTGAAAAATGTGATTAGTGTTATCGTAAAACATGTTGAGAGTCAAGCGTTAGTGATAAATGGAGGCAAAGAAAAAGAGAAGTACTTCACTCGTTCACACTCGCGTGCGAACGAGAGAGTGAACGAGCTAACCTGAAAAGTCTTTTCCAAAGTTGGCTTGTATTATTTTGCCCCATGCTAAAAATATCCCATATAAATAGTCCTTAAACTCACTTTTGAAAGGGGAAGACGACCTTAAGGAAAGACGTTTTTGGAGATGAAAAGGGGACGTTTTTAGAGAGGATTATCGACCAAATGAGGCAAGAATACACTAGGAGCAGGTGGAAAATTCTTCTACAAGTTTTTCACTTTCTTCTTCCTATTTTCATTATTGGTTATGAATTCTAGTATTGTAGTTTTGTATACTATTATGAATAACTAATTCGTTATCTACGGTTTTGATGGAACCTTTTGTAGGATGATAACTCTTATTACGCTCTTTTATAATTGAGCCGTCAGATTTCTCTACTTGTTCAACTACGTATTTATTATTGTTGATTGAATGGCCATCAATTGACTGTGCCTATTTAGTGTGTATATTGCTAGAGAGAGAGAGAGCGCATTTAGGTAGTTGTTGAACAACATCACTCCTAACGTATGTGAGAGATCATTACGGAGGATTTAAAGACGAGATTAGAGATAACAAAACCTTGGTGCGGTCGTAGAGCGGTGAATTGGTGTCAGCTAGCGTAGTTTGAGAAAATACGTTTAGTAAATTGTGGTAGTTGATCGAGAGAGAGCTACAACACCCAAAGTACTCACAATCGGTAGAGAATACTTAGGCGAAATTATAGAAGACATAGCGAGAAAGATTCCGATAATTGGGAAAATCATAACTCTAGACCTCCTTAATTTAGTCTCCAAACCTTAATATCTTTAGTTATTAATTCATTATTTTAATTTTCTAGTTAATTAGTTAGTGATAAGAATCTTAATATGCATAACTTAGAAACTATTCGAGCTTGCCTTATTAGTGATATTGAACAGTTGTAGTTAAGTCTTAGTTCTCTATGGGATTCAACTCCAGGCTTTTAGACTGGATTATATTTGCAGCGATCGCTTGTCCTTTTTAGGACTAGAGTTGGACGTGATTAAATTTTGGCGCCGTTATCGGGGAACTAACGGTGTAGCTGTAGGTGTACATATTGCTAGGTTTCAAGTTTGAACTTTTATTTCTATTTTTTTTGTATTTGATTTTTTTTAATTTTTGTTCTGCTTGTTGATTTTAGAAACATGACATCTTGGAATTATGAGAGTATTGATATTGGTAATTTTACTTTTGATCCTCCTTATGTATATTGTGGAGGAAATCACTCATGGCAAAATTATCAAAATATTTCCGAGAGCGAGTTATGTATACCAACTCAATCTATTGTGTGAAATGTATGTGATATGTGTGGTGGTCAAGATGGTCACTTTCATGGTTGTGCTTATATGTCGTATCCTCCCCCAACTCCTTACTATGATGGTTCTACTTTTTTCTGATAGGAACAAATAACTCAGGAAAGCTGACCTGAAGGAGATCAAAGATATGTTAAAGTACCTCATGGAACGAAGTAATGAGAAACAACTACAAATACAAAGGCTAGGGGATACTAACCAAATACAATGGGATACTATCCAAAGGCAAGAGGCAACTATTCTTAACCTGGAGGTACAAGTGAGGCAATTGTTTGAGGCTTTACATGCTCAACAAGATAATATTATGAATAGTAGCCATGAGCAGTATGCATTAGAGACAGAAATTGAGGTGTCAATAGAAGGGTCCATAGTAGAACACCAACAATCTATCAAACTAGAATTTGAGGATGTCGATGTTGTAGAAGAGATACTAGTATCAACCAAGGACATTGATGATACATATTTAGTTGACTATAATGTGATTGGTGTTGAGGGTGTCGAAAA